TTTTATGATTGTTAGAAACTTCAGGGGAGGTTTTTGTATTTTACCCTAAACTACTAATGCACTATCAAAATTTAGCCCGAGAGTTTTAATTTTTTAGTTCATTAGGCTATACAATGGGGCTAGCCCAACCTTAGAGGTGTAAATTGGGTCATACCGTTTACAGCCCGACATGATGGTGAACGGGTCATGTCGAGGCATGACACAATTGTATGGGTTGTGCCAAGCTTGGGATTTCAAGTCCATGGGCCAGGCCAGCATGGCATGATGGTCTGAGCCATGCCGCTTGTGGCCCGTGGGCTAGCACGACATGGCCCGTGGCACACCCCATATATATATATTTATATAAATAATATATATTATATATTATATATTATAATAATATAATAATATATAATATATTAATAAAATAAACAATTGTATATATCAAAATTCATATAAAATAAAAATTTTAAGATTTTTTTCAACTTTTTTTAAATAAACCTTTCATAGTCCATGACTCACCCTGGCCCAAGGCTTGACCCATGGACCAGCCTGGCCCATGGAACACACGGGCCCGCGTGGGCTCGGGCCGTGGGCCATGTCGGGCCAACCCCCAAACTATCCCAGGGGAGGGAGGCATGACACAACCAACACTTTGCACGGGTTACAAGCGGATCGTGCCATGCCAGCCCAATACGGCCCGTTTTATATCTCTTCCCATCCTTCATAGCTACTTTAGCTTCAATATTATTTAAAAATAGTTAAAAAAAAATCCAAAGAATAATGCATGCATGGGTTGCACTTGGTTTGGTTCAGTCCAATTACGAAAGTTATGATGCATGTAACTTAGGTGAGTTAGGTCAGGATGAGGATCAATCCAAGTCTAATCCAAAGTCTTAAACATTAAGTTTGGACTTAGATTAATTTAATTATGACTAAAAAAGTTAATTATAGATTAATTTAATTATAACTATAGCCTAATTTTATATGTTTGCTGATATTTAGGTATTTTAAATATTTAAGTGATATTTACAAAAAAAAATTGAAACATTTAATCATTAATAAAGTAAAATAAATAAAATAGAACACTACCAAATAATATGGAAAAATAATTATTTTATTAAATAATTAGCAATGACTTATTTTTTTGTTAAAAATATTAACAAAATTAATTCAAATTATTAAATTAATAAAACATTTTTGTAACAAATTATTAGAATAAAGATATAATTATTTTAAACAACATTGCATTTTTTATTAGTTATAAGTTTTGATTATTCTTTGATAAATCCCATGCATCGCACGGATCCCCGATAATTCATTTATAAATAACAATTGGATGGCCATGCTTAAACAGTGTTGTGCAGAGGTTTACGCGTTCGCGGTTTGTAAACCACTTGGATATGGTCCGGTTCATGGTAGACTGACTTCACTAATCTAAAAGCTCTTAGTAGCCAATAGGATAATCTAAATTCCAATTTACTGAAAAAAGTTGCAGAACAAAGAATTAAATGAGGAAAAATAATCTCTACAACATACAAATATATCAAACCCCAAAATTAAAAGTTAAACAAGCAAACCAAAACCTAAAGCTTCAACCGCCCAGCTAGTCAAATTAACTGTAATAGTACAGTTCATTTATGTGATTTTATGTTTTCTTCATTATCTTCATCAAGTGCACCTTACTACCCAACTAGGCATAACTGTTCAATGACAACGTCCCGGAATTGATGTCACCGTTGAACCGTGTAAAATTCTGGAGGAGAAGAAAACTAGAAGATATAGAAGATTTTTTTGTATTACTTCTGCTTTCTGTACAAGATACAAGATAACTATTTATACAAGAAGTAAACTCTGGCTCAACTAATCTAACAAACTAACCAACTTGTACAACAACTTAACAGCTGTACTAACGGACTAACTAACCGTAGCTAACTGACTAACTACTATATATAATCTGTACATCCCCCCCTCAAGTTGGAGCTTGGGATTGGTGAAAATCAACCAAGCCCAACTTGGAAACAATGGAATGGAACTGAGAGCCAGCAAGACTTTTAGTAAACACATCTACAAGCTGTAACTTTGTAGAGATGTATTTAGGAAGAACGAAGCCAGCTTTATACTTGTCACGCACCAAGTGGCAATCAATTTCCAAGTGCTTAGTATGTTCATGGAAGACCAGATTAGCAGTAATATGCAACGCTGCTAAATTATCACACCAGAGAGGAATTGGCAAAGGAAAACTGATCCACTGCAGCTCACAAGCAGTAGTAGCAAGGCTGCGATATTCCGCTTTTGTTGAAGATCTGCTGACTGGATTGTTTCTTGGTTTTTCAAGAAATCAATGAAGAACCCATAGATATACAGTAGTTAGTGAGTGATCGACGAGTCTCCTTACAAGCCGCCTAGTCTGCATCATAGTAGGCTTCAAGAGATAAATCGTTTGTAAATGGAAAGAACAAACCTCTTGAAGGGGTTCCCTTGAGGTATTTGAGAACGTGAAGAGCTGCCTCCCAATGAGCCTTGGTAGGAGACTGAACATATTGGCTAAGCTATTGAACAACATGCGTAATATCAGGTCTAGTTAAATTGAGATAGAGTAACTTGCCAACAAGCCTTCAATATTTCTCTGGTTCATCCAATGGAACACTAGCAGTAGAAAAATGTTGCCCCTTTGGCAATGGTGTAACAGCAGGTTTTACTCCAAGAAGACCAGCATCTTGCAAAATGTCTAATACGTACTTCCTTTGGTTAACATAAGTGCCACCTGACCCTCTTGCAATCTCAAGGCCTAGAAAATACTTAGCAAACCTCATATCCTTGATAGTAAAAGTGTCATGTAGAAACTGTTTAACCTTTTGAATTTCACTTTCATGAGTGCCAGTGACAAGGATATCATCGACATACACTAATAGAGCTAAAAAAGAACTTGATGTGCTCTTTGTAAACAAACAATGATCATGTGCACTCTGTATGAATCCGTAAGCTTGAAGTTTAACACAAAACTCAACATTCCATTGGCAGGAAACCTACTTTAAACTATACAAAGACCTTTTTAATAAACAAACTTCATGTGGTTTTGCTTTGGTATAACCCTGAGGATGCTGCATAACGATTTCCTCATCAAGATGACCATGTAAAAATGCGTTGTCAATATCTAATTGATGCAAAGCCCAATTTTTGGCAGTAGCAATAGCCAAAAATATCCTCACTGTAACAAGCTTGGCTACTGGAGAAAAGTTGTCATTGTAGTCAACTCCTTTAATTTGATGGTAGCCTTTTGCTACCAATCTCGCTTTGTATCTATCAACAGTACCACCTGGCAAATACTTTACCTTATAAACCCACTTCGACCCAATGGCCTTTTTTCCAGGTGGCAGAGGAACCAACTCCCATGTGTTATTTGATTCTAAAGCCTGCAGCTCTTTTGTCATAGCCTCAACCCCACTTTTCATTTTTGCTTGCATGATAATATGAACTAGGTTCAGGAACAGAGGACACATTGGCAAGAAAAGACATGTAAGTGTTAGTGAAAATAGGTGATTTATGGTAGGAAAATGTTGGTGGTGTATAGGTTGTAGAACCTGGTGATGTAGCTGTATTCGAAGTTGTAATAGCAGTGGGCAAGTCAATAGGAACAGTCACATTAGAAACAAAGTCATTCATCCATGCTGGTTTAAATTTTTGTCTAGTGCTATGTCTTAAAGTAGGAACGGGAATATCTAAATGATGTGTGTCAGATGAAGATTGAATGGGGTTCAAAGACTGTATAGGATCTGAAATGATATCAGTATGGAAAGATTCAATAGCAATAGAAGGAGAAATAGTAGGAATACGATGAATAGCAGGATCAACATTCTGGTTTAAAGGAGTTGTTGGCAAATGATTTGAATTGAAGACAATAGGATCATGAAAAGGAATAGGTAATGATACTTCACTGCTATCATTAGTAACATTTGCAAAAGGAAAGACATTTTCATGAAAAACCACATCCCGAGAAATATAAAACTGATGAGAGTCTAAACCATAAACTCTATATGCCTTTTGACCTATGACAAATCCTACAAAAACACACCTATATGCCATGGCTTCAAATTTATCTTTATGTGGCCTAGTGTTAGTTGCATAGCATAGGCAACCAAAACATTTAAGTAATCTGGTTTTTTGTTATGTAACACTTCATAAGGGGTTTTTCAATCTAAAAGACTAGTAGGTACCCTATTTATGATATAAGCTGCCATTAAGAAAGAATGGCCCCAGAATTTTATAGGCATATTGGCCTGAAACATTAAGGCTCTTGCTATTTGTAAGACGTGTTTATGCTTCCTCTCAACAATGTCATTTTGTTGAGGAGTATAAACACAACTCTTTTGATGCATAATTCCTAATTGAGACAAGAAAGTTTGACATTCATTGCTAGTAAACTCAGACCCATTATCCGTCCTAATGCATTTAACTTGTTTCTGAAATTGATTTTTCACCATTTGAAAAAAAAAAAATTAATGTTTGTAATGTCTGATGTTTATGTGTAAGTAAGAATGCCCAAGTAGCTCTGCTACAATCGTCTACCACAGTAAGCATGTAATGTGCTCCTGTAATAGAAGCTTTATGGTATGGTCCCCATAAGTCTATGTGCAGAAGATCAAAAATAGAATCTGCCCTAGTATTGCTAAGTGGAAAAGACAGTCTATGTTGTTTTGATTTGTGACAAACATCACATGGTGAAAGCAGTGTTGTACCAATACCATTTAAAAAGGTAATATGTTGTAATGATTTCAATGAAGCATGACCAAGCCTGTTATGTCACAAATGTTCAGAATCATTATTCAAATCATTAGTAGCAGTACAAGGAAGATTGACTGAGTTACAAATAGAATCAAAAGAAGATTTGACTGAGTCAATCTGATTATTGCAAGAAACAAAAAATGTAGTATCATGGAATAAAGATTTGTCCAAAATGTATAGATTCCCAACCACTTTACCAACTGCTAGAACAGCTTCAGTCTGAGGGTCCTGCAGAATACATATGTCAGAAAGAAATACAAATTTAATTTGTGCAGTCTTGGAAAGCTTTCTTACTGAAAGAAGGTTAAAATTGAAACTAGGGACATAAAGTGCATTGGTCAAGGTCAGTTTAGGGCTAAGATGCACATCACCTATTTGATGAACAAGTTTAACAGATCCGTCAGGTAAGAAAACTGGAGTAATTTGTGATACTGGTTTTGGTTTATGAGGTAGTTTGGGGTTACTGCACATGTGGTTTGATGCACCCGTGTCCACTATCCATGTTCCACAATCCAAATTATCAAATGAATGTAAAGCAAAATGGAAAGCAATACTAGAGTTTTTACCAGCAAAATCCTCAATATGTGTGAAGTTAACATGATTGCCTTCAAAAGCAGCCTTTCCCTTCATCATCTTCGACAATTCCTGCTGAATCATCTCTGACAAATACACTTGTTGATCAGTTGTTTTTCAGCCGCACGGTCCATGTTAACATCCAAAGGATTATCAGCCATTTTTGCCATATTTCTTCCTCTTGTAACCTTGCCTCGTTGCTCTTTAAGTTCCTTATACCATTCTGGATAACCATGCAATTTGAAGCATGTATCCTTAGTATGACCGCCCATGTTACAGTGATCACAAGACAACTTCTCATATTTCTCATTCTTTTTGTCATTATAATTTGACTTCTTATGAATTCCTCTCCCGGCACCAGATCCTCTTCCCATAGGTGCTTTCACAAACATTGTTGAGTTCTCAACTTTCTCAGCCAAGTTAAGATGAACCTCTCATTGCTTCTCAACTCGCAAGATCATTGAATAAGCCTTGTTGACTGAAGGCAAGGGCTCCATCATCAAGATCTGGTTCCTCACATGATCAAAATCATCACTAAGGCCCATTAAAAACTGCATTAGCCTATTAGAACAAGCAAGATCTGAAACATTCTTCGCAACACCACATGTACAATTCTTACAAGTACATTGTGGTATTGGCTGCATACAGACCAATTCATCCCACAACTTCTTCAGCTTTGTGAAGTACTTCACCACTAACTGACTTCCTTGAGAAATAGCACTTATTTCTCTTTGAATCCGGTAAATCTGCGGTCCATTAGATTCACCAAATCTCTCTTCCAATTCCAACCAAAGTTCTCTAGCAGTTGATGCATAGAGAAAAGCTTCCACTATTTCCTTAGAAATAGAGTTCAAGATCCATGATCTAATCATACAATCCACACGAATCCATTGATCATAATCAGCAGAATCTTCTTCTGGCATTACACACCTTCCATCGATGAATTCGAGCTTCACCTTAGCTCCTAGGGCTATCTTAATCAATCTACTCCAAGACAAATAGTTGTTATCTGTCAAAGGAATCATGACAAGTTGCATTCTTGGATGATCCAAGTTTGCCAAAGCCATTGGATCTCCATTAAAGGTACTTGTCGTTTCCTTGTGTACAGTTGCAGTTCCAGTTTGAGATGCAACCAACACCGCTGGATCTTTAATGACTTCCATTCTTTCAGCCGACACAGAACCAAATACAGGCAGATCTGGATCGATTTGCTCTGATACCATATAAAATTCTGGAGGAGAAGAAAACTAGAAGACAGAAGATACAAGATGACTATTTATACAAGAAGTAAACTCTGGCTCAACTAATCTAACAAATTAACCAACTTGTACAACAACTTAACAGCTGTACTAACAGACTAACTAACCGTAGCTAACTGACTAACTACTATATATAATCTGTACAAACCGTCTGCGACTGTAAACTGGTCGGAGGTCAGTTACAACGTGAGTTCGTGACATTCATCCTTTTCGTCTTTCTAGCCTTAGCCCGGGCTACCCCGATAGAATACAGCGGCCGTGGTGTTGTCGAATTTGAAGTGACCAAAGTTATTATTCACGACAATCTGGGCGAGTAGTCATGTTATGGGAAGGTGTCGCCCCAGTGACTATTTTCAGGTTCTCAACCGTGACACTCGTCAACTTAACACTAGGGTCTAGGAGTTCTGATCTTCACTTCAGCACGGTTAATGCCAACACAAGGATGATTACGGTCTGAAACACAGCAAATGCAGCGATATAAGCAAAAGTGTTCGATGTTTCCCTTCAGTTATCGAAATGGGTCGATCAAGAAATTGACTTCGGCTCTTAACAAATTGGGCTAAGGCTGCATTGCACCCTTAACTCCTTGCTCAGATTGATCGGGCCTGATTCATTATTTTTTGATACATTGCCAAGTAATTACTATCCCATTCATTAGGCCAGGTCATTAAGAACGAGAACCAGTTTCAGAGGACTGTTTTTGGAAGAATATAATGCATTTACCCTTTGGCTTCTCTGGTTCATTGCTGGAAAAAACTGTATCATACAAAAATGAAAATAACATGAAAAGAGACCATATAGCATGTGTTGGTGAGAGAAAAGGAAGAAGGGTAGGGGTCACTCAAACAGAGGCCAATAGCCAAAACATGATAAAAGAGGATATGGCTATGAGGAACCAGGTAATGAAAGCTAGCGCTATAGAAATTTGGAACCTGCTGCAAGGGATTTGAGGTTGTGACCTGCAAAAATTCAAGTCCTTCGCATAGAGTACCATTATCCCAGCTGATGAACATGCTGCTGCAAGTGATAGAGTGGCGGTCACCTGCATTTTCAATTATTCTTATGCCACTCAGTTGAATTCATACCAAAAAATGAAAAGCTTAGAAAGAATGTTGTTCCTTTTCCACAGCCATTTTACATGCAACCAAACAATGTAAGACAGCAATTTTTCAGAAAATTGTTCATTTTCTTTCATTTTATGTGCAAAAAAAAAGGGCGTAAAACAGAACTACAAACTTTACATTGCAATCTTAATCTGAGAAAATCTGGATGCAAAGGCAATTCTGCAATATTGTATATCAGTACCAGGCGCACAATACAATGGTGATAGATACACATTTTGAATTCATGGCTTCACAGCAAAAAGAAACAGACCTCTATCAACAGCCTTCTTGGTAAGATATAAGAACAAACTTGGAGGGGCATTTAGAGAACATGGAGAAGAGGTTATATTGGTTTTCTTATGTCCAATTCGCTAAGCTACTCCTACTAGAGCCAAGACCCAGGCACTATAAGAGAATCTTGTACTATATCTTTGAGAGAAAATAATCCAGAGGTAGAAAGGGATTCACCAATAATTATAGAAGACTGGATGGGCTGGAAAAGTCCTTGGTCTTTGTGACATGCTATCAGAAGCCAGGTCCTTGATGCCCTATGTGATATAGGGGCCTAGACCCATATATAGTACATGTGTTCCCAGAGCCAAAGAAACTCCCTTACAAAAAAGAAAAAAAAATGAAGAAAAAGAAAAGGGAAGCAAAACAAAAAGAGGAGAACAATTTTAATGAGAAGTTCAATAAAAAGTGTCTTTCCAACAAAAGCTAATGCAGAATGGGACATATCTATAAGTAGCAGTAACAAAGCTTTCTTCCATCTGAAAACAAATCAACATATGCATCCAGCCCGCAACATCCAAAACTTGTTTTTATCTGAAAGATACAAGCCTTCTTAGGGCAGAATTACTGCAGTCCCTTGGGCAAATGACAAAAGGGGAAGAACCAATCATAAATAAGTATCTGAAATGATGCATATCCATATCAAGGGGAAGTCCCTAATTTGCAGTGATTTCATGTGAATACAAAGGAGCTCCACACCTTAGGGCATTCATCCGGTTAGCATCCAGAAAAGATTATGTAGGAAACTGCAAAACATGGGAGAGCTTCTCCCACAAGTATTATGAAATAAAACCACCTCATCTGGGTTTTAACCATTGAATTTCCCCTATCAAAACTGACCTTTGCAACAGCACGGGAGACCATTCATCTATGACTTGATTACTCCAATATGAAAATTTTAATAGGCAAAATAAAAAAAAAAAATGACATTATAATGTTATCCAATTTAGAAGTAGTCCACCAAAACATAGGAAAACAAAGAGGGGATTGATAAACAAATCGATATAAGGTAAGCTTAAGCTCATATTATATGTAACATTCCACAAGTCAAGAAGCTGTCATACCACATTTTTCTAGGAATAGTTCGTGATACAGTTCCTTGAAAACAAGGTCCATTACCCTGTCAGGCCAGGCAATCCAGGGTCTTGGGAGGAGTGGATTGGACCTAACTTCTGTCATTCTGTGCACGAAGTGACCAATCACAGACTTGAACCCACATTTTTATGCTTGATAACCCGATACAAAATATATGTGCTAAATGGAGGAAGAACTAACATTATGACCTTGTTCATCATCCTTATGAACTAAGCCACTTAACACATGCAATGTGTTACAAGAAAGGGTAGCACCACATTTTTTTGGAGTTTCTCAATGTGCATTTCCTTCAGAGGAAGTCATGAATTAATTACATGGGATGCAAAGGAACAAGAAAAATAAATGAAAATGAGATTATAACCCATGCATCCTCCCATGTATCAAAAAGTGACATGTATATGAAGAAAACAACAACTTATGTTGCTAATTTGCACAACATTTTTCCAAGAAAAATTAATTACAGGCTATGATATCTTGAATAGAAAATATATGAATAATTAATGTGTCAAAAGAACATAGCTCAAATAGTTAAAATGAAAATTTAAAAAGGAAATAACCAAAAAAAAAATTGACTGCCACGAATATTTTCAGCAAATATCATTGTATCAAAGTCTGAAAATGTCTGTGAAGTTTCACACTGAAAAATCCATACATACACAGAAACAAACAAAATTCACCAAAAATATCATGCTGAAATATTCATGTACATAGTAAAGTTAATGAAGCTCAAGAGCAAAAGGATAATTACCCAGTCACCAACAACAAACAGGCTCACCAACACAGGACTCTGAAGGTTTCTCTTTATCCTCAAAGCATAAGCATCAAGACAAGCAAGTCCAAAACTCCATAGTACTTGAAGCCCCATTGAAGCAATTAAATAGCTGAATTTCAATGATATGAATTAGCACATAAAATTATGTTTATTAAGGAAAAAATAATTCAGTAAATTCACTAGAAAAGCAACTAGCCCATGATAACTACTATTGAAATTGAATGCATAAATAAAATAAAAGAGTTATCTATTGCTTATCAAAAAAATAAATAAATAAAATAAAAGAGAACATCCAATTAAAAGAAACAAACAACTCACGTATGCAGATGCCTAGGACCTAGAACTTATAACTTCAAGGACTCAGATGTGGTCCTTGTTCAGGTCTTTGTCCAAGGTACCTGGCAACTTAAGTCAGCAGCATTTTGTCATGTTTTACAGAGATCAAAATCTTTTAGTCTAATGATTGTGGGAACCTTCTAAAATTGTCAGGTCAACATTACAGGGATAAATATTAGTTAAATTTTCTATAGGCAATGAATAACTATGCTGTAAAACTGAAAGAAAACCCACTGTGACAGGGGAACATGGATGATCACATGAAGAAATTTTTGAATTGGCCTTGTTGGGTGAAAAAGAGAACAATCACTCCATATCGGGTCTATTTTTCTTCATCTGGCAGTTGACTTCTGTGGACCTAGGGATGATTCTGGAGAATGTAAAATCTTGTTGTCTTCTTTCTTCTGTTATTTTTTCTGCTAGTCTTTTTTTGAAAGTTCTCTGCATGGCTGCACTTGAAGCCAACAGATGCAGGAAGAAGCCAATAAGGCCCAGAAATTTTCATTTTTCATATTGAAACTAGCACAGCCTAAATGCTGAAAACTACAGTACTTATTTAGCATCTTGCACATGTTGGGAAACAAATTGGAGAACCTCAAAATTTTTCATTTGACCCAATAGAACTGCAAAGCTTAACCTCTATACCGTAGCCTAAGATCTTTCTGGAAATTCCATTATTTTATAAGATACTCTCCATGTTATTCATCCATGTTAATGACCAGTTAGATTGATACCTTTAAATAAGTCAAATAAAAGCTATATTGACACTAGAGAAACAACAGCATGAACATGGAATGCCAGAGTTTGGTATATGTCTATGTAAGAAAACAGTCCTAACAGAAAAGAAGGAAGACCAAATGGTGAAATATCCCATCTAAAGTTGTTTTGAATACCATATTTTCATTCGGCTTGATCGAAAGAGCAGTTGGAATCAACCCAGATGTCAAAACCTCAAAAGTTGGAAATGAAGGCAATATTTTCAAGTTCAACCGGTGGCCATAGATGTCAATGTGTTTAATGTGGTCAGACATAACTAGATTTGGAGAATGGTTCGACTAAACAAAACAAAAACACATAACCACATAAATGGAAACTTAACTACAAGAAAAGACAATATCCACAGATCGATCTGAAATGATATATTTTACTGCATATTGTGACAGTAACTAGAAATAATGTAAGAAATTAATTCAAACTCGTATAGTGCAGAAGCCCAACAAACACCAGTCAACAAAGTGTAGCTTAAACAGAAAGAAACAAAATGGTTACCATTTACCAAAAAACAAAAATAAACAAAAGAAGCAAAGTAGAATTGAATCATTTCCATACCTATTGTGATGAGCAACTTAAATATCCAAGAAATAAATAACGAAAAAAAGGGGGAAAAAAGATAATCTCACAAAGTCTTTATCCATTACGCTCATCCAACAAGAAAAAAGAGATAAACAATCATACTATCATACTTCCACTAAAAAAGTCTATCGAACATGAACCTAGAAATAAGGATATAAGGAAATACATACAAGTACAACGATATAAAAATGAAAAAAAAAAAGAAATATATCATATTTTATAAGAGAAGAAAACTGGGAAGAGAGGAAAGATACCAGAAAGCAGTATAGTTAGAAAAGCCGAAGGCAGAGGCCATCGCCCCAATTGAAGCAGAAGCAACCAAGCACTGACCTACTCTCAGGAGAAGCCCACTCACCGTACCAGGGGCCCCAAACAAATACTTCATCTCTCTGTTTTTACTCCAAGGGCCCTTCCACAAAACATAGGGCCCTATAGAAACCCTAAGTTTCGATCACTCCCCATGAACGGAACTCCCTCCAAATGTCCTCCATTTTTACGCGATTTCAACTAGTTCTTGGAAAATGAATAAAAACCGAGGATCCTTTAAAGCCTCTACTACCAGATTTAGATAGATGCCAGCCACGACGTTTCTATTCGAGTTCCCTGAGTATTACGAGCTCCAGAGATTCAGAGACTGAACTGGGTTTTGGGCACTTTCTCTCTTTTCAGACAAGGAAGCAGTTGCTGAATCGATTCATCTTTAAGTGACCAATAATCTGTTATTTACAGAAGCTTTGCGAATTAAATATACTAAATAGTTAATAATTAATTGCAAAAAAAAGTGGGGTTGGAGCAGTAATCATCTGAGAGAATCAGTCGTAACTAGCACTTGATTTTCTTCTTTAATTTTAGCTTTGTTTTTTCTTTTTCACTTTCTTTTTCCCTTCTGTTCTGTTATCTTCTTATCTTTTGGAGGAGACCAGCTACTGCTGCTGAAACTGGGCCCCCGAGCATCAGGTTTTGATCCGTCTATTTTATTATATATTTATAAAAAAATGAATAATTGGTCACGGGCTCCGACGAAAATCATTACGGACAGATGAAAGCGTTAGGAAGCCCCTGTTTTAGCCATCAAAATTCTGCTATTGATTCTGTCTACCACTCATTGCCTGCTTGGTCTGGAAAGCAACCTTTGCCTTCTTGTAATAATTTTTTCCTTCTTTTACGAAGAAGAATGTTTTCAGTGATTCAGTCTAACGAGGGAATTCCTCCTTTCGCACAATAATAACATCGCATGAGCTATAATAATAAAAATCAACCGAGGGCTGAATCGTTGTCGTTGGTGTGTTAGCTGGTTTGTTCCAGCGTTGACGCAGAATCAAACCCTCCAATCAGCAATTTGGGGAAAGTACTGAATACCAAAAGAAGAGCTGATAATTAATAGGGCTATTCATAAGAAGACCCAATTCGATCAAACCTATCAACCCGGACCGATCCAACTTAAATTGGCCGGGTTTTCTTCAGCATCGGTCAGTTTTGGGTTGTAAAAAATCATAAACCAATGGTTCAGGTCGGTTTCGGTTTTCAATCGACTTAGCAGTTAGTAGTTAGTTTCTAATTAGTATTTACAACCTACTTAGTTCCTACTTAACTAAGTTGTCTCTATCCTAGTTACAACCTAACTTAATTTCTAGTCTTCTAATTAGGAATGACATAAATGGCAAGTATTGTAAGACAACTAAACAAGGAATTTTTTTGGAAAAGTTTAAAGAAAAAAATCAAAGGATCCTAGTTTTTATGGTCTTTTACACCAAATAGGCAACCAATTACAATTAGAATTAGGTGTCCTTTTTTACTTAGATTAGAAGGGTTCTTGAAATATACAAATTTTAGTCATCTTTCTCTAATACAGTTTGACTTTCTATTTTCTTGATAACTTTTATTCTAACTTGGTCCGCCCCTACCAATTTCAGTCTTCTTTCTCTAATAAAATTAGGTGTCCTTTTTTACATCAAATTTTAGTATTCTTTCTCCAATCTACCAATTTATTACCATGGTTGAACTTAGAGCCGAAACCGACCCAACCCGACTCAAACCGACCAGGTCGATTTTGCTTAACATAGGGTCGGTTTCGGTTTCAATTTCAGGTAACCCGACCAGGTCGGGTCGGTTGAAAAATCTCAGTAAACCGACCCAACCCTAATAATTAATATGAGTAAGCTATGTCCAAAATCGACCGACATACGTTGATTGACGGTGCCACGTGTTGTAGGTTGGATCGAATTTACATGGGCCCATGTCGTGCCATGTCATGTTGTTGTCTAGGCCGGAAGGGCTGTAGGCTGTGCAATGGGTTTAGGCTGAAACGGGTCAGACTCAAACTTTTTTTTTTTGATATTTTGATTTTTTAATTTTTTTTGTTAAATAAAATTCAAATACATTGAAAATTTTTTAAAAATCTAACAAAGAAATAAAAAAAAATATTTATCAAAATATAAAATAGACAACAAATTAGAAAAAAATATGAATTTTATTTTATCTAAAATATAAAAAATTATAAATTGAAAATAAAAAATTAGATTGTTAAAAAATAACAAATAATTTAAATAAATTTGAAAAAACTACTCCATCTCCTCGACTTCATTACTCCAATCATTTACTTCGTAAGGTGTAGTAGTGTCATGTCCTTTTTTGTCTTGTAATTTATTCTCACCATCTAGCAAATTTTTGAAGTATATGTCTTTTTCTTGTTTCTCATGGAAGAGCAAATGTCTCTCCAAGTGGTTAGTACCACTCTTGCTACAGAAACTAAAGTCAATCCTACATTTTTTACAAATGACTCTTTTTTCCCTTCCCCTCAACCTCCTCTGTTTTAAATACTTTCCAAATTAGGCTAGTGAACTTATTATTGGGGAATTGATTTCTAGAGGAGGAACTAGCCATTTTTTAATTCTAAAAAATAAAAATAAATTTAATTGCACTTACCTGGCCGAATGGCTTGGATTACTGATTTAAAATATCAACTTGATTTCAATGGTTGAAGCATCAAAGACCAAAGCCTCATAAATTGCATAGTGTATGACATTATGACAATATGAGATGGGATTGGATCCAATCCAATCCAAACCAAACCAAATGAAATATAAAAAATAGAACATATAAAAAATTACAAAAATATATTAAAATAATGAAAATCTGAAAATTAAAATATACCCTTTTGGCATTGAAAAAACACTTTTAATGTGCTTTGATAAAATTACTTTTATAAAAGTACTTTTGTAGAAGTGCTTTTGTAAAAGTACTTTTATAAAAGTACTCGTAGAAGTGCTTTTGTAAAGGTACATTCGTAGAAGTGCTTTTATAAAAGTACTTTTGTAAAAATGGTTTCGTAAAAGTACTTTTATAAAAATACATTTGTAGTACTTTTATAAAAGTAG